CATCGGTTTCCAATTGCGCAGATAAATGCTCATGTTATTGATCACCGGATTGTGTGGTCCAGGCTCCATTAGTTACCGACCGCCGCCATATAGCTGTAATATTGCTGAGTGCGGAGTAAAACTAACCTCACTCACTCACTCATAACGTGTGGACAGAGACACTCAGCTTTTGACTTGGAGTGCAACATGTCATAAGATCGCTCTATTTCCTTATCCACTCCTACAGGTAGGGCTCAACACGTGCAACATTATTATGTATGAATCTTTCATAAACAGACCCCTGTATGTACACACCTAAAAGTGATGAGTAACGTACGTTTTATCTGCTTTCATAACATTAGTAATTTACCCACCTGAACTTGACATTAAGAAGACAAGTGAAACCACCGCAACGGTTTCATATTTAGATTTATGCAGAAAGAGTCAGAGTGACACAAAACTCTCCACAAAGCTGTATGACAAAAGGGATGATTTCAACTTCCCAATTGTCAACTTTCATGTCGAGCAATATTTCAACACCAGCCTTTGGTGTTTACATTTCTACAACGTTTGAGGTACAGTCGAGCGTGCTCTATTTCTTAGGATTGCAAAGAGCGTCATACCTTTCTTGTTTACATGTTACTCAACACAAGGTACATGCATTGTCTCTTACGTGTCCGTAAACTATGGGATCAGTGGGTAGCCTCGTGGTCAAAGGGGCGGTGGGGTAGCCTTATGGTTAAAGCGTTGGCTCAGTCACGCCGAAGACCCGGGTTCGAATCCCCACATGGGCACAATGTGTGAAGCCCATCTCTGGTGTCCCCCGCCGTGATGTTGCTGGAATATTGCGGCGTAAAAACCAAACTTAACCAGTCAGTCAGTCGTGGTCAAAGGGTTCAGTCGTCACCCCAAAGACGATACCCTACTTCTATGCCCATTTCTGGTGTCTCGGTTTTGCTCAGAAGTTGTTTGATCAAGGTTACAGCATTGAAGGCCTCAGTAAAGCTTTGAAGAATTTCTATTGTAGACATGTGGAGAAAATTTCCAAATTTTATTCATCAGCGACAAAAATAATGTCCGATGCAATTCCCTATTCTGACTTGTACTACACGTTACCGAATTATTTCAGGTGAACAACTGACTAGACTTTGCATGTGTTTATGACGGATGGGGCAGGATACGCTCACCTTTCGCGAACACCAGGTATCATCACTATTTCATAGTGATTCATAAACACATGCTCTGTCATCGTAACCCATGGTGACAATCACTGGATTGTCTGGTCCAGACTTGATTTGTTTACTAACAACATCGTACAGCTGTAATACTGCTGAAACAAATATATGCTCATGATAAAGGCACATTTGTCAATCGATTCTGCTTTTATCAGAGTTTCTTATGAATGGTGAAAAGGTTTTGTCCCTTCTATTTATATGCAACGTACGACTGCTTACATTGCAGCAAACGACCAACTTCAGCGAAGTTTTACCCCTCAATCGATTGACATAATGCTCAAACATGTTAAAGTGTTAAACTCAGTTAATGAACTATTGTACCAACCGTGCACTATCTATAACTTTGTCTAGCCTGCTAGGGAATGACTCTTCCGATCCGTCGCATCTACTAATACCGTTGTAGGTAGATGAGAGATGCAGTTCCATTGGATGGGTAAGGGTTAGTACCGCTGCCAACTATATTCTAGAAAGATCTTAAAGTATATGGTACCAATTGCATTCTGATGCTCCAATCTCTTCGACATGTTGATTTCACACCTGAATACTTACACCAACGGGAATACATTCACTGTCATATCACGATGAGGAAGTTTTAGATTACTTTTGTAAACTTTCATATTGTACAATCGATTTAGTTGACTCATTCGGTAATGATATTACCAACCAATGTTTACCTTAATGTCTCAATCAATACTTCGTCTGCTTCCTGTTTGATTAACTGCAAACATTTGTAGTGAGTTTAAAAGTAAAATCTCTTCCTGCATCATCGGCTACTATATTCAGTATTCAGTTACAAAATCACATACGTCACGCTATATGGCTGAAACAGTGTCTATGTATAGGTGAAACAGTGTCTATGTATAGGTGAAACGGTGTCTTTGGATAGGTGAAACAGTGTCTATGTATAGGTGAAACAGTGTCTATGTAGAGGTGAAACACCGTCTATGTATAGGTGAAACTGTCTTTGTATAGGTGAAACAGTGTCTATGTATAGGTGAAACAGTGTCTATGTAGAGGTGAAACAGTGTTTTGTACAGGTGAAACGCCGTGTATGTTAACAGTGTCTATGTCGATGTGAAAAAGTGCCTATGTATAGGTGAAACAGTGTCTATGTATAGGTGAAACAGAGTCTATGTGGAGTGGAACAGTGTCTATGTATAGGTGAAACAGTGTCTTTGTATAGGTGAAACAGTGCCTATGTAGAGGTGAAACAGTGTCTATGTATAGGTGAAACAGTCTTTGTAGAGTGAAACAGCGTCTATGTATAGGTGAAACATTGTCTTTGTATAGGTGAAACAGAGTCTATGTATAGGTGAAACAGTGTCTATGTATAGGTGAAACAGTGTCTTTGTAGAGGTGAAACAGTGCCTATGTATAGGTGAAACAGTGTCTTTGTATAGGTGAAACAGTGTCTATGTATAGTGTCTTTGTATAGGTGAAACAGTGTCTATGTATAGGTGAAACAGTGACTATGTATAGGTGAAACAGTGTCTATGTAGAGGTGAAACAGTGTCTTTGTATAGGTGAAACAACGTCTATGTATAGGTGAAACAGAGTCTATGTATAGGTGAAACAGCGTCTATGTATAGGTGAAACAGAGTCTATGTAGAGGTGAAACAGAGTCTATGTATAGTGAAACAGTGTCTATGTATAGGTGAAACAGTGTCTATGTATAGGTGAAACAGTGTCTATGTATTGGTGAAACAGTGTCTATGTATAGGTGAAACAGTGTCTATGTATAGGTGACACAGTGTCTTTGTATAGGTGAAACACCCTCTATGTATAGGTGAAACACCCTCTATGTATAGGTGAAACACCCTCTATGTAAAGGTGAAACAGTGTCTATGTAGAGGTGAAACACCCTCTATTTATAGGTGAAACACCCTCTATGTATAGCTGAAACAGTGTCTATGTATAGGTGAAACAGTGTCTATGTAGAGGTGAAACACCCTCTATGTATAGGTGAAACAGTGTCTATGTATAGGTGAAACAGTGTCTATGTATAGGTGAAACAGTGTCTATGTATAGGTGAAACAGTGTCTTTGTATAGGTTACACTGTCTTTGTATGGATGAAACACCCTCTATGTATAGGTGAAACAGCGTCTATGTATTGGTGAAACAGTGCCTTTGTATAGGGGAAACAGTGTCTATGTATATGTGAAACACCGTCTCTGTACTTCCGTAATAATTTCGCTATATTTATGGAAATCCTCTTGCTGTTTGGCCGAGTGACTGTAGATACATAGATAGATAATTAAACTTGTAATAGGTGTTCTGGCAACAGGGCCCATTTACACCTTGCCGATCACAAAGGTTCGCTATCTGACTAAACGACGATCGTGTTATGGTGAAACAGTGTCGCGAGGCTTGTTGCTCTTTGTTTTAAAACACAGTTGCCTTTAGGTTGAGTGAGTGAGTTTAGTTTTACGTCGCACTCAGCAATATCCCAGCAATATGGCGGCGGTCTGTAAATAATCGAGTCTGGAACAGACAATCCAGTGATCAACAGCATGAGCATCGATGAGCGCAATTGGGAACCGATGACATGTGTCAACCAAGTCAGCGAAACTGACCACCCGATCCCGTTAGTCGCCTCTTACGACAAGCATAGTCGCCTTTTATGGCAAGCACATGGGTCCTGAAGACCTATTCTACCCCGGATCTTCACGGGTCGCCTTTAGGTTGAGACAATGTAGCTAGATGACTGAGACAGTGTCACTACTTGACTGAAACTGACGTTTTATCAGATCAAGACTACAAACATTTTATGTCGGCTTCACTTTTTCAGCGTCTCAAAGATATAGCCGCTGTCTCAGCAGCCTTGTGGGAGAGAATGCAGTTTACAACTAGAATGAAATGTAACAGTTTCTTACTTATGAAGTGTGATAGAATTAAAATATCTTCCAATGATCATTTGTGTCGCATTATGGCCCATTAGCTGTGTACCATAGCCAAGTCAGACTTTCCTATGCATTAGGCATGTAAAAAGTCTGAACATTAGATATTGTAATCACAGTGTATAATGTGATGATACACACGCAGGGATGGTTTGTTGTTTAACGCCGCACTCAGCGATATTCCAGCTGTGTGGCGGCGGTCTGTAAATAATCGAGTAGGGACCAGACAATATGCGCAATATACGACAAGCATGGGCTACTGAAGATCAATTCTAACCCGGATCTTCACGGCTATGTACGTATGTATGTATGTATGTATGTATGTATGTATGTATGTATGTATGTATGTATGTATGTATGTATGTATGTATGTATGTATGTATGTATGTATGTATGTATGTATGTATGTATGTATGTATGTATGTATGTAGTATGTATGTATGTATGCATACATACATGCATGTATGTGTGGGTGTGTGCGCGTGTGTGCGTGCGTGCGTGTGTTGACTGATCCATCATTAATTATCTTTCAAATGAAGAGTATTACATTTGTCGAGTCCAAATATCATGACAATATCATTAGATAAAAAACATGTCACAGTGCCTCTATCGGACAGGGACATCATTTCAATATAGCTGAAACAGTGTTGCAAGGTTGCTTTCTGTATATGGCTCAGACACTGTCGCTGTATGACTGAAGCACAAATACATTTTGGCTGAAACAGTGTTGCTGTATTGCTGTAACATCGCGCTGTATGGCTGAAACAGTGTCGCTACATGGCTGAAGTACAGTTGCCTTTAGTCTCTATGTACATACAACACAGCCAATGTTCCCGTATATTCCATGTCACTCCCTCGCTTTCTACCAATGCCTGTATTTTGTTCCAGATCATCTTGAAAATGGCGTCTTTGTGGATGGTATTGATTGACAGCATTATGCTGTGGTCAGCACAATTTGTGATGGGTAAGGTTTGACAACTCGATCACCAGTAGTTGTAGTAGCAACAGTAGTAGACACTGGGGGGACTATTGAGGGGGAAACAACTACTGCGATAGCGATAGTCTATTGCAACATACTATTGCAATACTATTGCATTAGTTCTTTTCTACTTGAAGTTTGAAGTCATAGTTTATATGAAACAGAAAAAAAGTTGAAGTAGTTTCAGTCTCTTGTAATAACCGACAAGAAACTTTAAACCCAGATAAAGTAAACAGTTTTAACATAAATTTAAACTTGTGTTATTGACAATATGTTTGTTTAAGAGGTAACAGGGGTGGATAAGATCTAATCAAAGTGAACGAATCTGGTACTTCCTGTATTTGGGGCTGCGCACCTATCAGCGGAAGTCAATTACTAAACTATCGATAGTCACACATACTATCGATGCATCGATAGTTTTTCGTTTTTCTGCCATCGAATAATTGCTCCAACAATTGTAATCTATCGATAGTTCGATGCATCGTTTACAGCACTAGTAGACACGGTAACAGCAGCAACAAAATGGCTACTTGCGCCTTGAATACACTTGCTCCTCTAGTCTAAACATTAAACAAATATACGTTTCACGAGTGTGAGAGGCGCAGTATGTGGTATCTTAGTAATGAGTTAGTGAGTATGGCTTTACGCTTTACGCTTTACAAGAATCGCGTTTTTAAATGATGCTGTTCACAGCTGCTCGTCGACATTAGAAAACAGGAACATGCATTGCTATAAAAATAAACTCAATCACTCGTACGAATGTCTATTAAATCAGAAGAATGATACTGATTACTGATGCTTGGTGACCTCTGTTACAGTATCGACAGAATCTCCATGCCCGGAAATAGCTCATCTTTCGGGATCCTACGCCGTCTCTGCAAAGATTGTTTACGATCATTTCGCTTGGGTACGCCCCCACGACAACCAGAATGTTGTCACTTGTAGTCCACAATGCAGCGGCACGACTACGTACTCTGCAAGCAAGAAGAATGCCGAAAATATAACCACCCTTACGATAGGGAGCGTTCAGATCAGAGATAATGGCACATGGGTCATTTCCGACACAAGTTCTGTCGGAGTGCCTGCATGCCATTTAACGGTCGCAGGTTTGTATACATGAATACATATTGCATTTACAAGGTGTGAATTCGACAATATCAAGAGAAACGATATCTCAATATTCTATGACTTAGTATTTTATTTTGTGTTGTTTTCATGGCGTTATGTATCAAGTTGATCTTGATTCTTTCAAAACAGTTCAATTATCTTTCTATCCTTTGTTGATGTTTTGTTTTGGCGTCCTGCGTCATGTTCAAATATAACAGTCTTTCTTACATGCAAATGTGTTTTAAAAATATACCACTTTGTACTGTTGGCACATTGGAATACCGTAACAAAACTGACGTATGGTCTCTTACCTTCACATAAATAGGATCACACAAAGGACGCTGGCTTAGGCAGTTACTCACATAATGAATACACATGGCGTCCTGCGTCATGTTCAAATATAACAGTCTTTCTTACATGCAAATGTGTTTTAAAAATATACCACTTTGTACTGTTGGCACATTGGAATACCGTAACAAAACTGACGTATGGTCTCTTACCTTCACATAAATAGGATCACACAAAGGACGCTGGCTTAGGCAGTTACTCACATAATGAATACACATGCCTTTAAAAAGTGACTAGATGTTACTGGTTAAATTTGGGATCACAATTTGCTCGGGTTAAGTCAAGTCCGAGAGTCGAACCGTCACTATCAGTCTCTGAGGCGACTTCCACAAACCCAAAACAATTGTTACTGAACACGAATGCTTAACATGAGAAAGTGAAATAGGCAGTTGAAATTTTCAGTTTTGTGTTGAATATGTTTAGCGTCAGTTTTTTCTAAAATTTCCTTTTAAACTTTTCTGATATTATTAAATATCAGACGAATTATTATGTAGAACTGTTAACTTCTTTGAGTGGCATTTATAAGTTGGTGTGATGAGTTCTATGGATATACAGCTTTTTATAATTAACATGAGCGTTTCGGTGTAGCTAGTGAGGAGCGTTCTATAGCTAGACGCTACTTGCTTGATGAGGGTGTATGTAACTACACCGAAACGTCGCTCATATCAATAATACAGAGGATGTTGTGCTAACAGGTTGCATTTTCTTTTGTGTCACTGTTGAAAACGGAGTATTCTGATTAAAACCGAGCACTCTCCTATATCTTTCAAAACAAATGAACCTCTCGTGAATGTCGTGACTGTAACATAATTGACACATAACATATACCTGTTTGACGTCTTACCATTACCTACCTAATGTTTTTCTCTTGTCTTAACTTCATGTTGATTACAGAAGAATAATGACTAATAATTTTCGGAAGCTAAAAGAGAACTAATTTTGTTGACATAACTGTCAAATTTATTTCCTCTGTCAACAGGTCTGCCAAACTGCACCATCACCAGCTCTCTGGCATACGATTCCCTTGAACCCAATTCAGAGCTGACACTGGTCGCAGGCATACGGGGATACTACTGCTCAAAACAGGCAGGGTTTGAACTAACTACAGGCCGTGACGTACCCGAGGTGTTGCTGAAGAACAAAACAGTTACTAATGCCACTGACATCGTCCTCAACACCACCTTCAACGTTACCCTAAGAGGACTTGGAAATGTTCAACTGGACTTTACGTGTGACAACACAACATTTAATCTTTCCTGTCGTGGAGTGACGAAACTTCTCAAAAGTAAATAGACATATAAAATTTGTAAATTGTTTAAGTATATTCTGAGAGATACGTCAACAATGCAAACATGCACGCATGTATGGATATTATTTTAAAATCTGTCGAAAAACCTTTGTTGATGTCGAAGTCTTTGGTGTGTGTTCTGGTTTGTGGTAGCGTTTACGTCACAATAAATTGTCAAAATAACTTCATGAATGTGTTTTGACACAATCCAACGAAAAGCGAAAAAGTCATTCATAAAAGCGCATACATATACGTTCATATATTAACACAAATGCAGTAACCCTGGTAGAAACCCTAGGTAAAAAACATCATACATTGGTCCATCATGATTTTTGTGATACTTTTATAAATGCTTCCATGATATATTTTTAATTGTCTTGGGTTCAAAGTCTGCTACCCATTATACATTATAAATGTAGATTTGTCAAACTTATTATTAAAATTTAAAAAAAAAATGTTTCCGGAGTTTGAATAGTGGATGGAGTATGAGAAAACCCCAACCTTTTTCATAAAATAACCCACTTAAAATAACGCCTTGTTAACGTTGTGGAATCCATATTCGGTATTATTTATACACAGGTCCTCCGGAGTGTGACATTAGCAGCTCCAGGAATGGATCCCTGATTCCTGGTACAAACCTGACTCTCACTGTCAACATCACCAACTACTACTGCACCGAGGAGGCTGCGTTCGATCTCATCACCGGAAGTGTCCAGCAGGAGCTGGTACCCAGACACCACGTTGTCGACATTAACAGTACTGTCGTCAGCAAGACCTGGGAGTCACATCTGCGCATGACGGGGACATTAAAGTCAACTTTAAATGTGACGGGACATATCGTGAACTTAGCTGCAGCGGCGACAAGAAGATAATTGTAGGTAAGTATAGTGTCCGAGGGCAGTTCTAGGAGTCTCTGTGTATGTCAGTAACAAACCCAAATATATAATCGTGACGTAATTAAAGGATTGGGCACGTGATGGTTTCCAACAAAAGTTAAAACATGACGTTGGAGGCGACCATATCATATTCGGTGACTCGCTGGAATGGATGCCTTTGCTTCCACGTTTTGCTGTTCGAAGCTCATGATGTTAATCACCAGTTTGTCTCATCAACATGATCAGACTGAAATAATAATAACTAAAATTAAAGTTGCGGGCAACCTTGAGGGCTCCTTGGCTTGTATAATTTCTAAACATTTGGTACCTGATGTCGAAAGCAGTAAAGGTTATAGCTGATATGGATCATATCATTGTCAGTAATGAAAAATACTTCAGTGGTAAACTTTGAATTCTTATGTTTTCAGGGTTAGAAACAAAGGATTGTGTTGTATGGTATGGGTAATTGCACGTTTATTTTCGGGTGAGTGTAGATACAATTTCCAGCTAAAAGCACCTCTACTGCAGTGTATTTTAATGTTGTGTAGCGCTAGCTCTCGTCATTGTCAATTGAAATTGACATCGTCTCCCATATCCGCACGTGGACCACGCTTTGCAGTGGTAGTCTCTTTATAGCAGATATCGTCCCCGCGCTTTCCTTCAGACTGTCGCATGCCTTGCACGGGCAATCTGCCGTGTCGTAAATCTCCGAGAAAGTTATGACACATTCCAGACATCACAAAGTCGGCGAGCGAGTGAGTGGATTTGTAGGATTTCCAGGGCTGCCTCTAACCACGAAACGGTGATATTTTTACCATGTACCTTAGAATAAGAAATGATCGGCAAACCATACACATATACACTGCCAATTTTCATAGCCCTCAGTAGAAAAGCAATCCAGATTAGCAACTGTAGTGAGGAAAATAGACTATTATTTGTCCCTCCGTTGTCTTTGAAGCTATGTCGCTGCAACTGGTACACACGACTCACACCGGCGGCATAAATGCGTATCCCAATTTTGGTGGAAATCGGATGGTTGGTGTCCGAGTTACGGGTGTTTTAAAGGTGGAAAACATGAGCTCCGAGGACAGGAACACTTGACCCCCTGGTCGGCGCGGGGTCATGTACCTTTTAAGAAGTTCGGGAGAAGAAATAGTTCGCTCTTTGACAGGCCGTAGCTCCGTTGTCCTTGCGTCTACGTTCAAAACAATTGGTGTTCTGGAATCGTCACTTCAGCTATCGGACGCACCGTCTCAAGTGTCCAAACGGTGCATTTTAGCAACTTGAGCCGTCCAGGCGAAATGGTAGGCATTTTGATTGTAGGACACATAATGCATTTGTGCAATTTTCAATGCCTTATGGCCGACAAACGATCCAATTTTGTACATGCATGTAAGAACACGAAATGTTAAGCATCTTATGTTGATGCATACTGCCAGGTTTTACTGCCTTCTGTGCAGAACTCGAGCAGCTATGCTGTTTATAATGTAGTATCATCAGAATCTGACGAAATCCAATATGGCCGCCAAGCAATGCACATTTTGACATGAACCCAAGAACAAAAAATGTTCGACACACTCAGTTACTACGTACTGCCAGATGCTAGCTGCCTAGTTGAAATAGTAATGTCGCTGCGATTTTTTGAAAATACATTTTAGTACAAAATAAACAACAGAAGCAAACATCTAGATATCCGTAACTAATCAAGATATCGCAACATAGCTTATGGGCATTAATATTTGAGGTATATGTTGTATATCTGCACATTTACAGCGTTCTGCAGTTCATACATTCAGAGTTATGGATTGCGAAAAATGCCTACCCCACAAAATCTGCAAATTTCTGATAAACATCTTCAATCCAATATGGCCGCCGCATCACGTGACTTTTGACATAGGACCAAGAACAGAAAATGTTTAACAACCAAAGGCAACTTCAGAACAATCGTTTAAAGTGTTGTGTGTGGTAAGTTTCGTTTGGCACAGAACAGCCAAGTAGCCCGTGAAAGTTTTTGAAGACAACTTTTGCCCAAAAGTAGCGTCCAATATGGCGGGCATCATATAAACATAGGCTTATTTGACGATGCTACTGTGTAGAAACATGCATAGACACAAAGTATGCATCGTTTGAAAGCCGTAGCCCTTGTAGTTTTAGTGCAGCACATTTTGGGAGGTATGCAGTCAGGATTTTGCTGAAAAACATCACCAAAAACTTCAATCCCAAATAGCGTCCAAACGGTGCATTTTAGCGACTTGAGCCGTCCAGGCGAAATTGTAGGCATTTTGATTGCGCATCTGCTCCAGAACTTTGGCAAACGTTGGAGCATTAGTTTTGGAGATATTTGCATTTGCGTTTGAAATTTTTGAATTAATTTTGAATTATCTGCCCTTTGCTATTGGGCCTACAGCCTACAGATTTTAAAGCGCGATATGTACACCTCGGTGGGCATCTGGGTGATTTTTTTCAAGGCATTCTGTCCAGCGGTGCTCTCTGTAGCTCTGGTACAAAATACGGCGGAAGAATAAATAATAATAATAATAATAATAATAATAATAAAAACACGAACGATTACAATAGGTCTCCTGCCTAATGGCAAGGAGCCCTAATATTACAATAGGTCTCCTGCCTAATGGCAAGGAGCCCTAACAAAAGTACGATTATTTGTTAATTTTGACAAACCCTACTTTTGCGAGTTTCCATGCACGGAAATTTATTTCATACTCCCGAAAAGAGTCACACTCAAATCCTTCTGCTGCACGGGTATCTTTGCCACATGTTTTGAGCAAAGCATAATGGTATTTTTCAGGGATGCAAATGCCACTCTTGTGTGTGGGAATCTCTAGAAGATATTTCATTTATATAAAACAAACAATCATACGTACAATGTCACGATCTATTTAATTTCTTTGTCTTGCTGTGAGACAATTCAAGATAACATCCATTCATCTGAGACCTGCATCCTAAGATGTCCAAGCCTGATACAAAGGAGCGTCGCCTAACCATGCGCAGCAGGTAGCAACGCTACAAGACACCCTCTCGTCACACGAGGCTGTCGACAATTCGACAAGTTTATTACTCAAAAAAACCACCTTCGGTGGTACAAGAGCATATTTTAACAACAATTTATGTACAATTCATATGCATGCGTCTTAGATAGACAACTGAATACAATAAATAATTCCTTATACATATGTACAGTTCCCTATATATAAATACGTGCATATATTCATAGGTGGATAAACACAAACGCTTATTAAAGATTGGTTAGCTTTTTTTTGCAACTGTATGATAAAATTTGACAAACATTTTTTATATCTAGTAGTAGTCGGCGAAAGAACAAAGACTAATTTAGATGTATTGTTAAGATATTTTGTGGTGGGTATATGTTGTTCACGATATGAATTAAGTGCTGGACATTTAATAATATAGTGTAATTCATCACCGATTACACTTAAATTACAAAGTGTACAATATCTTTCATCCCTCGGTATGCTTTGCCATCTTCCAGTCTCAATTGGCGGTTTACATTTAAAGTTCTAAATTTTAAAATCGGCACAGAAACATATTTCGGTAAAAGTAGGTATTTTTCAAAAGCAAGTAATTGTTTATAATGTTGATAATACGTTCCTTTTGGGCTAGATTTGATACTTTCCCTCCACTTTTGAATAAACTGGTCTGTTAAAACTTGTCCAGCATTCAAAACTAGAGAAGACGTAGTATATACCGAGGGATTTACAAATACATATGATAATCCAATTCTATCTAGTAAACCCTTGATAAAGTGAATCCAAGAATCCGACTTAATTTTTATATTGTATTTATTTACACTGTAATTATATACCACATGGGATAGTTTAAGTGTATCAGTATATGTTAGTTTGTGCCAAAAGGATAACATACGTTGGCATATTTTTATAGATATTTGAGTTCTGCCAAGTTCGCCATAAACCATAAAATTCGGCGTAGATTTCCTTAGTCCAGATGCAAGTTTCAGAAATTTTAGATGTATATTCTCTATTAGGTCAAGTTTTCAAATCCCCACAATTCTGATCCATAGGTTAAAATAGGTGTTATCATCACATCAAATGCCGATAATAAACAATCTAAGGGTAAATTCAAATTTCTTGCTTTTTTTCAGCAGGCTATACATAGCCTTTGTAGCGTTTTCGGTTATAGTTTTTATCCTAGTTACCATTCTTTTGTTTCTGTGTAGTTTTATACCAAGATATACATAACTGTCCACTAAACTAAGATTTTTCTCCCCAAATTTAAATATCATTTTGGATTTAGCCTAATTACTAAAATTTTTGTTTTTGATACATTTACATTGAGTTGCCAATTAGTGCAATATTCATAGAAGGAATCAAGAGACTTGTGTAGGGCTTTAGGAGTAAGGGCAAATAAAACAGTGTCATCAGCGTAAAGTAACAATAAAATTTGCAGCCAGATTTGTATTTCATTTTCATTAGATAATTCCAAGTTAACTCCTTCGCAACCATTTTCATACAGATTATTCTCTAGAACATTAAGAAAAATTGAAAATAAAAGTGACGATAAGTTCTCTCCTTGCCGTACCCCTTTTTGACATGGGAAATAATCGGATGTACTGTTTTGTGTACTTACTGTTGACTTAATGTTACGATACATACTTTTTACGAGCTCAAGAAATCATCCATGTATACCGGACTTTTGCATCTTCGTCCATAGACCGATTCGCCAGACAGTATCAAATGCTTTTGTGAAGTCGATGAAGGCACAGTAGAGCATTTGCCTTTGTGATGTCAGTATACTATTAATTGTCCGAAAAATAAATATGTTATCGGATGTTGTAAAATGTTTTCTAAAACCGGCTTGAGCGGGAGTAATGGTATTGTTTTGTTCAAGGAAAGATGTTAAACGCGAGTTTAGTATAGAGGTAAAGAATTAAAACAGTTGTAGGTCAGTATGAACTTGGGTCAAGTTGGTCACCCTTGTTTTTGTATATCGGTTTTATAACTCCAATCAGACAAGAATCGGGAATTTTACCTGTTGTGAAAACGAGGTTGAAAAATTAAACTTAGAAGGGGGCAAAGATGCCAATAGTATCGATTATGTAATCATTTTCAATATTGTCCAAGCCCGCTGCTTTATTTCGTTTGAGTGTTTTGGCGGTAGACATAATTTCTTCAATGCTAATGTCTTTATTAAGAATACTACAGTCATATTGCAAATCGGGATGGTTACTTTCTTTGAAATTCAATTCATGTTCGCTGTAATTTTCTGCATTTAGATCTGTATAGTATTCAAAAAAAAGTTTTGGTATCAGGCATCGCGATGTTATCTTTCGAGTTTCTATCTTTCCAGAAATTCCCAGTATTCTTTCGGTGACTTTTTCATTTTTTCTCTAAACATATTTTCAAGATATATCCTATGTTTTCTAATATGTTCATGTAGGCATTTCTTGTAAGCTCTCGATTCGGTGCGTAGGTTTTGAAGATTAGACTGTGATTTATTTTCCTTAACTTTTCGTTTTGCTTTATGGAATCTTTTTCTGAATTTTCTACATTCTGTATTGAACCACGGCTTGTTCTTACGATAGCGGGGTGTGTATTTCATATGTTGTCGTGTCCCAAATGTTTCACGTGCAGCATTAACAAGCACGTGCGCCAAGCGATCGGAGAGCGTGTTGATAATCGATAAATCTTCATGGTTAGATACCGCTGTAAGATTTGTAAGTTTATTTACTTTATTCAAGTCAACATTTTGGCGAAAAGTTGCTTTTTTATCGAGATTATAACGTTTAGGTTTAGCCGTTTTACTATTATCTACATGATGAATAAGTTTAGGTTCCTTTACTACATCGGGAATAGACTTGCTTTTCACTGTAAACGATAATGGGCAGTGAACATCTGACGTGAGGGGAGAAAAGTCTAAAACATCAAAATCGGTAAAACGTTTTAAACTTTTTGGGGAAGTAAGAACATAATCGATTAAACTTTTGTCATTACAAGTTAACTTCCCAATATATTTATCATTTTCCACCCTTCCATTTACAATGAATAAATTCAAATTCTTACAAATATCTATAAGTGCATAACCAAAATTGTTTACTTTACCGACATCTTGAGATGATCTTTCTAGAGGAAGGTTTAAATCATGTAAATATTTCTCAGGGCATATATCTCCAGTTTCATCTAAATCAAACTCTTCAGTAAAAAAGTCATCGTATACAGAATATTGTATTTGTTCTGGAGTTGAAGTCACCCATTAGAGTGAGTGAGTTAATATTTAACGTCACATCGGCAATATTTCAACCATATAGTCACCCATTAGAGTAACATATTCACTTTTCGTAAGCTTATGCATAATTGAATGTTCTAGGTCGAGGAAAGTGTCATTTGTAACATATCTGGATCCGTCCGGGGGGATATACACTATTCCTAAATAGTGATCTTGCTCAATATCAAATAAAGTTTTTGACAGTTTTATCCACATTACATAATCATTATCCTTCTCTACTAATGTAATAAAATCTTTGTACTCGTTCTTAACAGCTATTCCAATCCCTCCTTATTTTCTGTTAGTTTTTACTCTATTCCTGAGCGATAGTGTATACCCATCAAGATGTATGTCATCTAATTCATTTGTTTTAGTTTCTTGCAGTCCAAAAATATGTTTACTTTCTATAAGGTTAACCAATCCCGAATACTCTAATCTTAGTCCACATACATTAACACTTAAAAACTTAAGAGCGGAATAGTTTAAAATGCAGTCATCTTCATCATCATCATCATCACCACCATCACCACCACCATCATCACCATAATCATCAGCGTTAGTATCATAAATGTCAACATCGACATTATCTACAACATGTTTATCAACATCTACAATATTATCATCTTCATCAGCTAGGTCAATATGAGCATCTACAGTATTTGTATCAACATCTTCGATTCTAGAAGCATCATTATCTACACTTCTGTTGAAGTATTTAATTTTGTTATCAGTTTCGGAAACAACAATATTTACATTTTTGTTGATATGTTTCATTTTATCTTTATTTTCAGAACCAACAATATTTATACTTCTGTTGATATGTTTCACTTTATCGTTAGTTTCAGAAATATCGTTTTTTACATTTCTGTTGATATGTTTCATTTTGTCATTAGTTTCAGAAACATTATTATTTACACTCCTGTTGATATGTTTCATTTTGTCATTAAATTCAGAAACTTCACTGTTTACACTTCTGTTGGTATGTTTCATTTTATCATTAATTTCAGAAATATCATTATTTACACTTCTGTCGCTATGTTTCAATTTGTCATCAATTACAGAAGCAACATTATTTACACTTCTGTTGCTATGTTTCACTTTATCATTAGTTTCAGAAATATCGTTATTTACATTTCTGTTGATATGTTTCATTTTAACATCAATTTCAGAAACATCATTATTTACACTTTTGTTGATATGTTTCATTTTGTCTTCACGAATATCAACAGGATTACTATTTATGATTTCATTGGCTTCAACAATTTTATCGTCAATAATGTCAATAGCATCAAGACAAACCACATTATTTTGGTCTGCAATATTAACATCACTGTGTTCAGAGTACACATGAGAGCCATTGCAAATGAGAGTCATTGATGTATTGGCTTTGGCATATGTGGCAATACTGACTAGGTATTGATCACATGAGGTCTCAGTATTTTGTACTTCTGTCTTTAATGATAACTGGGGTATTTGTGAGTCACTTTTGGAGGTTTGGAGTTCACATGAGTGAGTGTCATATTGTTCTGGTGGATAATATACAGAGGGGGATGCAGGCCATGTAGTACTGACTGACTCAAGAAATTGCACAATGATGGGTCGAGGTCTGATAGACTCCCCATGATATCGTGGACTGCGTTTAGGTCCTATTCTGTGAACACGTTTAAATTTATTTTTGTCAACATCCTCATGCTTTAATTCATCTTTGATAAAGTTTCTCAGTACTTGTTCACAGTCTTCGAAAGGTTTGAGTTGTTGTAGCTACGTACTCACGGATGTTGGTGAATATGTGATTATCTCTCATAGATCGGCGACGTGGGCTTCACGGAGGCTTAGATTGTTATTTGGGCTGCTAGCTGACTGGGCCCTAATATCAGCGATTTGTTTTTCCATTTCCACTTTGTTCAGTTTTAGATCATCATAACTGTCACTGAGAAACCCTGCGCTTTCTTCCAAAGCATTGACCCTTTCTTTAACATCGTCAATATCTTTCACTTTTAGTTCCAAGTTAGCAATGTTTGTCTTAATGTCATTCACATCTTTCACTATTGAGTCCAACTTAGAAAGTTTGTGATCCATGGACTCTAACCTGGCCAAGATGGCTGAGTCAAGGCAAGGGCTGGGGGGTAGAGGTTGTGCGAGAGGGTTGCAGTGAAACGGTACCTGACTTATATATTGTCCTTGTGGGGTAGTGAAAACAGTCTGCTGGTTGGGCGTGTAGATAGTCTGGAGAGATTCTCCCACGATGTTGGCTGTGCTACCCGGTGTTGACGTGGCCATTGTTGACGTGTCACCTGTACTCTTCTCGCTGATTTCGGTAGGTGAGGTAGGCATTTTGACAGTTTACATTAAAATCGTGTTGATTCAATCAGATGGAGACACAAACACGTCTTGTCACCTCGACGCATGCTCAGCCTGGACCCAGACCCTGGACGATCCTTTACCTCGTGAATTTGCTCCTGGTCATCTACCAGACTATAATTCAAGAAAATTGCAAATACAGTAACACATTTGTTCGCTTAATAATTCTGTATTGATGAAGATAGAATGTCATTCCAGTGCATTTGGACCTCCTGTATTGAACACGAAGATGTCATTGTAGGTGAAAAAGAACTTGTTCTTCCAACTGTTTTTCCCTCGCCATGACACCTTCTTGTTCAATACATAAGGCCCAATATCACTGGTATTGCGTAATATATACACATGAAAGATGTACGCACATATATATATATTAGGTATGTTTATATTCTACGTCTCAGCTTCCTCATATATAGTTTGACCACGACGATGTATTTGGTATGAGTTTTATAAGAAGCTCTACATTACGCATTATACAGAAGACACATTGGTTTCAAGGGAAAATTGCAATTAATTACATTTCGACTTGACCAACAATGTATTACTCGGCAGTATTAAATTACGTTAGTACAAATTTCTTCTCTTGTTTGTTGAAGGAGAAATGTCCTCTTTCATGTTAAAACCATTATTTTACCTTTGCAGTTGGAGCGACATCAACTGCAACACCACCAACGTCAACGCCTGCATGTGCGCATATTCATACTCTGTGTTATCCCTGTTTTGTAATTCTATGGATTAATAATTTTTAAAGAATCTATCATTTCAACATTCTTGGCACTATAAAATTCCAGTGATCGAACCATATGAAATGATTTTTGGATAGAAAAAGAATTCAATAGAAGGACATTTTGACATTGTGTATTGTTAATGCTTTCAGCATCTCCAACTACATCGACATCGACAGGTGTGTGTATTTTATAGATTCATAAATACCTGACGCTATGTTCACTGCAGATGTAAGATCTATTTGTTTCCAGTTAAACATGTAGCTGAAAATATATCTGTCAAAGTTTATTTTGTGACCTCTTTGTAACAGTAGGTCATTTAACATTAACCATTGGTCATTCAGTTCAAACTGGTTTAGGTCTTTAGAGCAGTGATGCTTGTGAGCCTAATGCTTACCCGTTTTGCTTGTTCCAGGAAGTGACACCACAACCACCTCCATCTCCTCCTCCATCACCACCTCCATCTCCACCTCCACCTCCATCACCACGTCCACCACTACACCTCCAACACCTGCATCTGTACCTGTGTACCTCATCATAGGTATAGTGATTGCGTTGCTCGTGCTGCTCATCATCATCTTTGTCCTGATTGTCTTTCGTAACAGAATCGCACGGGTTGCCCGGAAGTACAGCGTCACAAGGAAAAGGCCCAAGGTTCGGAACTTGAAGGAAAATGATAAACCCAACAAAGGGAAACGCATGTCCCAAATCAACCCTGACAAAAAGGCTGACTTTGATCAAAATGTTCTTGGATCCACCGCTGATCCTGCTTCAGAACACAAAGGAGCATCAGTTAAAGAGATGCCAATATAGCCGATGGATGTAATAGAGACTATGTTTTAAGGAAATTCAGAGGTGTAAAACTATATGGTAGTCTGTTTTGAACAGCTTCTTATTATATGAATGAAAGTCCGAGAAAATTGATCAAAACTTTCAGCTATTTTCATTTTGAAAATAATGATGCTCTTGCATTATCGAAAGTAAAAGAGACACATAGCAAACTTGACAGTCGGAGTGAAACACTTGGCTGTTATTGTGCCAATGAAATAGGATACTTAGTGTGCATTTGTTTCTCAATATTTTGAAGACGTGTTCTGAGAGTATATTTTGCTGTGGCACAAATTCAGATATTCCTACACTGACAAGAAATATTTAATCATGCTAGGAAACATCAGGACTACAAATCCGTTGTTTGACACTTTGTAATGTGTACTGGATCAATATATAATAATAAGTCAACCAGGTATGTACATAGCAGCCAACAGGCTGCAAAGAACGTTCACCCTCATAGACTTGATTTCCCGAAATTAGTGTTACTGAAAGTTATAATTAATATTATTTTAGTGTTTGAATATTCTTATCATGTTGCATATCAGAAATATAATAATCAAACTACATCAACACTTGCAATTTGCAGTACTTGTTAAAACATCCATGTCATTCCTTTTTTTTTACGCCATTTGTCGTTCTTTTCAAAAGATATTGATGTTGTCCAAGCAACGCTTTATGATCAGTAGTATGTATAATTATGATTATATTCATTGATGTTTGTTTAAATTATTTACACTATTGTTTGTTTGTTTTCTGAATGAATACTATGTTTATTGATTTTTGTATTCAAAGTGCAGCTGGATGTACATATATGTTTAAGCACCAGTTTGTGTCTGGTTATTTATGTTATGGAAAACGTACAGTGGTGTGATTTCGGGTTTTTAATGGACTGTGAACCATACTAAAACACATTGTACTGACTTTGCTTTATGACTAGAAAATTCATTATTCATCCGTGTGTTCTTTTTATCTTACCTCAACCTCAATTACTTGTTTTTAGAACAATGACACACCATTTGCACTTCGCATATATAAATACCCAATGCACATTTTGATTGAGGGATTCTTTAAACACGGAGTTCCTCATGTAATCAAGTATGTTTTGCTTCAAGCCTATTTACGTCAGTCCTACTGTATTTGTATATCATATTATTATATTTTAATCCTTTTGACACCACAATGTCACGGGTCATTTTAAGTTGTCACTGATGATGTCAAAGAGACATATGCTTTTCACATTGAAATTTGCTTTGTTGAGATTATATATTTTGCTGTATATATCGGACATTTTGTCTCATAGTTTTATTCTATTTACATTAGATAGTGTGTGTTCTGGATTAATCCAACCAGTTCATATATGATTATACCTTTCAGCAAGAAGCACATCACCTCTAATGAGTTTGGCTGTGTATGAATATTGATAAGGTCCCACCCACCCACCTTGACCCCACAGGGGGGTTGTTGTAAGTGATGTCAGGCAAAACTAGTTGTGCCATTTTATCAATAATCGCCAGTCATGTATACTGCGGACAAATGCTTATTGTTTGTGTTGTTTTGGGTTCACCGTAAATAAACCGTGTTTATAACCCATCCGTCTTGCTTGTCTACCTGCAGATTATTTGTGACGAGGCATATATGTCAGGGGAATTACTGTTGCGTATTGATGGAAAAGTTAGCCATGGTGTAGTCGTTAGAGCGTCCGCCCAGAGAGCGGAAGGTCGCGGGTTCGATCCCGACCGCGTTATACCCAAAGACGTTGAAATATGGTTCTTGTTGGTCCCTGTCTGGTTCTCGGCATTAATGGGTACAACAAGGACTGGTCAGCTTGGAGTCAGTATAATGTGTCTGAGTGGGGTATTCATGCTTCACTGCGGCATGGTATCTCAGTGGGCTAGCACTATAAACCTAGCTTAAGTCTGGGCTAGTACAAGCAGCCGCACATACACATACACACGCATGCACGTCGTCATTTGAGCGACATATTCTCAAGCACGACGTTAAACCCACTGCACAGCTCACCAGATCGGCCCAAGAGGTTATTTTGAGCGTCCGTCATCGACCACGTCTCATTACAACGTTCGTGTTTGCCTGAAGAGTTGGTTGGTTGGTTTGTTGTTTAACGCCGCACTTAGCAATATAGCAGCTATATTTCGGCGGTCTGTAAATAATCGTGTCTGGACCAGACGATCCTGTGATCAACAGCATTGATCTACACAATTAGGATACGTCGACATGTGTCAACCAAGTTATCGAGCCTGACCACTCGATAAGGTTAGTCGCCTTTCACGACAACATGGGGTGCTGAAGATTAATTCTAACCCGGATCTTCACGGGTCTGCCTGTGGAGGTTCCACAGTCGTGACATTCTGTTGTTTATATTTACCGGCCCTGATGCTACCAATCTCTAGTATGGTGATCTACCTTCAGTTACTGGTGATCTATAACCTGTTTTGTATTGTAATGTCCTAAATACTATATACTTTTAAGTCACATTCTAGTTTTGTATCCCCAACTGTGACATTCTAGTTCTTTTATTGTCCTTTTCAGACAGATTTTAGGATATAGCATTTTGACCTACCTTTGGAATACAGCACCACAAACTTTAACAATACGTCATAATACCCTTTTACGTAATGTAATGTGATTTTGTTCGAAAGCACGTTCTCGAAACAATGCCCTATGACGCTTGCATGGCAACACGGTTGTCTGGCTCAGCGAGTGCGTATAATTTCGCTCACTGGCGTTTCATCTCTACGAGCTATGTCATTGCATAAGCCCAACGATGTTGAGAGTTTCCAGTAGCTACTGTAGACCGGAGGATGCAATATTTTGCAAGCATTTTCAGTTTGAAATATTTTTCTTTTTTCACTAATACGCTCATTTTATTCGTATTACGGGCTGCTGAGGTGTTATGTTTTGTGTATTTTGTATTTTGTAATTTTTTTAATTAACATATATATTTTTGTCATTCAGTAATTTGCACCATTACATAGAAAAGTGTTTTATTAGTATTTTATTTTTCGAAGCGGTAATAATGCATTACACTAGACACGTCAGTCGTGTTTGTGCCTGTTCGGTCAATGCATTCTATTTATTAGGATTAATTCAAGGGGTTGGGGTTAGGGTTAGGGCTAGGGCTAGGACTAGGACTAGGACTAGGTTTAGGGTTAGGGTTTGGGTTTGGGTTAGGGATAGGGTTAGGGTTAGGGACCCAATCCAATATAGCAGGTACATGTCCGGTGTAATACGTGAGTACCATTTGTTGTTTTTCCTTTTTGCAGTTTAATACTTTTTTTCACACAAAAACGGGAAACCAAAAACGTCGAAAGTACATTATGAAATGGTTTAATGTAGAAATTTTGAGCTAATGGAAATTGATCTGGAATTTGCACTCAAGCCTCTTTCACACGCAACATAAATTTTGTAAAGTAATGATTCGAAGGCTAACTCACCCGAGTGCCGTCACTACACTCGACTTATCTCCCTCGTTCCTTAGTGCGATCCACATTATCCTTACAGTGTTCCCTACATCACTTTTCTGTCACAAAATCACCGATTTATATAAAAGCGCGTCATTCATGCATGCACCGTGAAATCTACGTCCGTCGCCAGACGTCAACAACCCTTTTCAGTTTGAGGCATATCGGCTCATTCCACACCACACGTTAATTTGTAGATTACGGAATGGGACGAGTGTGCCAAATGGCATTGGATCCATTCGGCAATTGTCCGAAGAATAAAATCACGAGACACCAAGTCTACCCGTAGCATTCGTAATTGTCCGTGACCTATTCGACTCTTTCCGTTCATTTCCGTGACGTCACAGGAATGACTTGATAAATTTGCACATCGTACAACAGTGCGGACGTAGCTCAGTCGGTTAGCTGTCGAGCTACCAATCGGAAGGTCGCGGGTTCGCGTCCGACGGGTCCTCACAAGCTGTTTGCTTGTCTTAATGACACGTGACCTACGGCAGATATCGTCCTCACGAGAAGTCGTGGTGCTGGATTCTAAAGGTGCTCCAACATTTTAAATTATTTCGATATGAGCCTTTGAAGTCACGATATGGCTGAAATATTTTATCTCACTCACTGATGCTACCAGTTAACTACGGAAGCGTAGTAGGGCCACGGTGAAAATTGTTTGGGGGGTCACCATCTCCTACGTAGGACTTAATATCTCCTACGTAAGACTTAGTATCTCCTACGTAGGACTTACTATCTCCTACGTAGGACTTAGTATCTCCTACGTAGGATTTAATATATCCCTTTTAAGGATGGTTATTAAGTTGAGAAATGTTTGGCTATGCAGGAAGTTAGATAGTCGAAATGTGAGTCAGTGAATATTCGTCACACTAACGCAGTGTGTATTACGTTAGGGTGACGTGGACCCTGTTCTAATTGCAGTTATGGAGGTTTGGGTATGGTTATGTTTAATCTATCATACATACATCTATTGCACACACATGGACACACACACACGGTCACACACAACACAGAGGTGGGTGGGATGGTTGGGGTGAGGTTGTGATATGAAACTCGGGTTATAACACGACCTCCGCAACAAGTTGTTGCTTGTCTTTATAGGGCTACGTTGGATCGGATGCAACGCTAGTTTGCGGTTTTATTCGTAATTGTTTACAGGTTGACTTGACTGGGGTTGACAAGTGTAGAGTGCGGCGTAAAACAATACGAAATTCAAAAAGGCAAAGAATTGTCATTATAGTTATTTGTATAAATATAAGGGGATACGTACACATAGATTGCCACCGGTAGTCTAAGACATGTCTGTACACGCAGATTATGATTCATGTGCAACGACCTCTGAAATATCCAATGCATAATAGTAAAGTGTAACAGAGTGCAACATATAACAGTGAACTAACTGCAACGCGTAATAGTAGAGCACACTGAACGCAAGGCAGTAAAGTATAACAGTCGGTCCAACACAGTACTAATGTGCAACAATTAGTTGAACACATGACTCTAATAGTGAAGGAAACAGTAGACTCTAATAGTAAATTGAAACACATGATAATAGACTCTAACAGTAAATGAAACACATAACTGTAGACTCTAATAGTGAATGAAACGAATGACTGTAGACTCTTACAGTGACTGAAACAGTGAAACAGGAGACGTGTGCGTGTCTGGGGCTTTAAGTCGATTTCAGATTAATCCATATAAACGTATATCGATCATCTGCTACAGGAAATATAAAGTACTACGTAAGAGATACTATGTCCTGCGTAGGAGATACTAAGTCCTACGTAGGAGATATCCACTTAGGAGATACTAACTCCTACGTAGGAGATATTAAGTCCTACGTAGGAAATAGTAAGTCCTACGTAGGAGATAGTAAGTCCTACGTAGGAGTTACTAAGTCCTTCGTAGGAGATACTATTTCCTACGTAGGAGATAGTAAGTCCTACGTAGGAGTTAGTAACTCCTACGTAGGAGATCCTAAGTCCTACGTAGGAGATACTAAGTCCTACGTAGGAGATATTAAGTCCTACGTAGGCGATACTAAGTCAATATTAAGTCCTACGTAGGAGATACTTAGTCCTACGTAAAAGACACTAAGTACTACGTAGGAGATAGTAAGACCAAAAAAAATTTCACCGTGGCCCTACTTCGCTTCCGTAGTTAACTTCCCTTTTGTACTGAACTTTCTGTACCGTTACCACAACGGGGACACACGACCTCTAACAATGTACATGTACACTGACTCCATTGATCCGTCACACCGTATTTATGTAATCTCCACGGGCACATGCACTTCATTATTCCGGTTTGTTAACTTCCATGTGGGTTTCATATCTGCCTTTTTAAATTATTTCCACATGTAGGTGTAATGTCCTTTTCACGTGCATGTGAGTTTATGCACTCATTTTCTAATTTCCACGTACATGTCAGTTTCATATCTGCGTATATATATGCTGTAATTTCACGTGCGTGTGCCCGGAGAGCGGAAGGTCTCGGGTTCGATACCCGGCCGCGTCATACCAAAAGACATCCAAATATGGTACTTGTTTGTCCCTGCCTGGCTCTCGGTATTAATGGGTACAAGAAGGACTGGTCGGCTCGAAGTCAGCATGATGTATCTGAGTGGGGTATTCATGCGTAGCTGTGGCTTGGTATTTCAGTGAGCAAGCACTATAAAAACAGCTTAAGTCTGGGCTAGTAAAAGAAGGTACACATACACACGCATGCACGTCGTCTTATGAGCGAAATATTCTCAAGTACGACGTTAAACCTCATTTCAGCTCACCTCACCTCACCATTAAATCAATTTACGCATATATGTGAACCTAATTACTGCTTTTGCCAATTCCATGAGTTTCCGAGTTTCATCTCAGCTCCTGTTTCGAACAGTATAAACTCACGGGCGAAAGAAACGTCACCTCGCTTTTTTAACATGTCACAAACAACTCAGATTTTGGAAATGTTACAGATATATTTTGAAAATTAATTTTTTT